GCTCATGGTCTTCTCGATGTCCTGCAACGCCAAAGCCACGTCAGCGCTGTGCCACGGCACCACCTGCTCCCCGGCACTGCACCCCACCATCCTGGCATGCGTGTCTGCAGAGAGTGTCTCTGATCTGAGAGCTCCCAAGTAAAACAGCAGCTTTGGGAGAAGGTGTGAAGCCCAAACTGGCTGCACTAAAGTGCCCTGTGTCCCCCAGGGCAGCAGGAGCTTGGTCACCAGCTCCAAAGGGCATCAACCCTGAGCACCAGGAGAGAAGGGTGAAAATCAGCCTGCCCACACAGCTCACCCACAGCTCTGAGGCTGGCACTGCCTCACAAGAGAGGCCCTGCAGCCTCCACTGGATGTATGGGGCCTCTGCTACCCCATGCTCACAGGACAATGGCACGTGGCAGGGACAGACACTGGGATGTTCATGGAGCAAGTGGAACACCAGCAGCTCGCCATGGATATACAAGAGGCAGCAACAAGGCCTGAGGCAGCCAAGGAGACATTGGCTCCAGCCCCTCAGTGCCCACCACCTCCAGGCTCCACAGTCTGTCCACAGGGATACCCCAGAAGGTGAACCCAGTCCAACCAGAAGTGCCCATGCACAGGGAACTAGCTACTGCCTATGGCTACAGTGTTGGGGCCTCCTGTACAAATGGAGAGGCCCTAGTCTGCCTTTGCTTAAATCCACCCTAACTTAATTAAGGCCACTCAGCAAGACCATTGGAGAAGCAATTTAAGGCACCAGAGTCAATTGTTTGAAAAGTCACTCTAGTTCATGTTGTCCTGGTGTAGACAAGTCATTATTTTATAACACCTACAAAATGTTCTGTGAGCCTCAGGTAACATTCAAAGGATCAGCTGAAGGGAAATAACTATCAAGTTAGCTCCAATTCATTCTATTAAGCTCCTAAGATGATGAGTGAAAATACTCTCCCAGAGAAGTCTCAGGACTCCCAAGCCCAGCAGCCCCACAAGATTCAAGGTGAAAATTAACATCATCTGGGTGAGCATCTTTTCCAAGAACAACCCAACAGAGCTGGGTGTGCAGCAGCACTGTAACCGTGTCTGAGGTGAAGGGGCTGCAGGCCCTCCCCAGTGAGCTCCTGCAGCCTCTGGGTGCCCTCCCAGCCCTCTCACCTCAGCAAGAGCTTCTGCTTCCAGGGATTTCTGATCTCCAAGGCTGCTGTGCCGGGTGGACCCGCAGGTGGATCTCAGCGGGTGGCTCTCAGCCAGGGTCTTCCTGTCTGGGAAGTTGATGCTGCCCGCGCTGCCGAACGTGGCCATCCTGCGCTTCTCAGGGCTCTCGATCCTGCCCCTGTTGAGGGGGATCTTGTGGGGGCTGCTGGGGCAGGCTGCTGCGCGGGGAGGGGTGTCGATGCCGGGCCCCATCCCTCGGGGCGGGCTGTGCGTGTCGCCCCCGCTGCGGCGCCGGGGGATGGCGGCACCGTCAGACCTCAATCTCACCCTGCAAAGAGCCCAGCACGGCGCACGTCAGCGTCTGTCAGCCCCACTGCTGCATGCTGCAAGGCAACCCCTCACCCTGAGCTCAGCTCAGACCAAATCAGAGCCTTCCAGCTTCAGAAGACTCAGGCAAGGGGGAAAACAAATATTTTAACCAGTACCAAGAAAGGGACAGCATCAAATCATAAGGGTAGTTCGGGCTGGAAGGGACCTCAAAGGGCATCTTGTTTTGGCTCCCTGCCATGGGCAGGCACACCTCCCACTATCCCAGGCTGCTCAGGGCCCCTGTACCGTCAGTACATGTTAAATCCCCATTAGCAGTGCACATGAAATGCCCTTCAAGCCCCTATTACCCTGCAGTGCTTTCTAGAGTTTCCCCTCCCATGCTGCCCTGCCCCATACACCAACTGTCCACACGTGTGACAGCCACCACCTCCATGGTGACAGGAATGTGAGTTACCTGCCCATGACTCCCCCAAAGCCATAGTCCAAGATGTGATCTGTGGGTGACTGGATGTCGTTCTTGGAGGAGGCTTTATCGTCCAGCAGCGGCCCGCTGCTCGCCTCGCTGTCTGCCTTCTGGCTCAGGCTGTCAGAGAAGGCATCATCCCTGGGAAAGGACACCACAGCAGTGACAGGGCTGTGCCCTGGGTGAGCACACGGATGCCACGCCAAGCTGAACAATCACCATGTCAGCAGCTCCATACTTTAATAACAAGGAGCTGTGCCAGGGCCACCACTTCACTGGGAACTTGGAAACAGTGCACGTCTGCCTTCCCATCCCCTGTGATGTGGCTGTCACTGTGATGGCTCCAGATACAGAACTTGTAAGAGAAGCAGCACCTGCAAAGGGCCCTGGGATCTGCCCACAGGCCAGGTGAGCACTGAACAATCCAGGTCAATGCTCACAGGGACCAGGCTGGTGGTAAGCCTGGGTCACACCACATTGGGGAGTCAATGAGAAATGGGGCGCAGGTACACTGAGGTACAATGTTTAGTACTGGTCTTTATCAGCCCAAATGAGAAACAAATGGAGCCAATACACAGAGGGAGAAGTGAATAGGCACAGATTTCTCACCAAAGTCATTAAACAAACTGCAAAACTGACATTATTTTAGGTGACTGAAGTGGAGCTTGTGCAAGCACATGATTTTAACAAGCCCCACTTTACTCACATGTCTTGCACCACGATGTACTGGTGGGGAATGAGCCCGTCCACCCCGTTGTGTCTCCCTTCCCACCAGTCTTCCGACGCCCGGTGGTACAGCAGGAGCGAGGCCCCTTTCTTGAAGGAGAGCTCCCGTGGAGATCGCCCAATGTAGTCAAACTTGGCTATGGCTTCAATCTGCTCCACCTCTGCACAGGAGAGAGGCACAGCGAGAGCAGCTCAGCTCAGCCCTAAAGGGAGGCTGAACCCAGAGCCCCTCACCAGAACAACAGAACAGTGCTGCCGCCGCCCAGCGCCCCAGAGCAGCTCACACTGAGCACAAGCCTGCTTGTTTTCAGACTGATCAATTCTTATTGTTGTTCCAGGCTCTCTGGGACCTCTCTCAGACTCACAAACTACTGGCAATTACAAACAGCTACGAAGCAGATGGGGAGCAGCAGGAATCTCCCTCTGTGCATATGGCACCCTCAGCCACATTGGTTACAGAAACCCATTATGCTCCAGCCTGAGATTTTGTCAAGCCATGTCAGATGCTGTGACCAAACCCCACTTACCTTCTCCTCCCTTCCTTATCCTGGAGACAGTTTGTCTGAATTATTGATGAGCAACTAATGTCCCTTTGGGGATCCCTATGGAAATAATGATACCAGCTCCAGCCAGACAGCTGCTCTGCACCCCACCATCTGCAGCACTCTGCCTCACTGTTTCCCCACTTTTCCTAATGTGATCTCTACCAAACGCCCGTGACTCAAACTGAGAACTCAGGGCCTGAAATACAGGAGGGCTGAGGCAGAACTTCACTTTGGAAGGTCATGAGCACACCAGGGTCCTCTAAGCCTCTGGGCAAGGGTGTGACAGCAGGAGCTGCTGGAGCACCCAACAGCACTGAGGAGCCTGTGAAAGAGCCTGGCTCACATGCAGATCTGTTTCCAGCTGGGGAACACTGAATCCTAAAGAAACCATTGCAACAACTGCAAAGCAGCAAGAGTGTCTCTCTCCTCGTTAACCAGAGTGACCCACACTGTGCCTTGCTTGGGTGGCAGAACTGCTGCCACTCCCCAGCCACCCCTGCCACTGCTGGAGCATTAGCTTGCCTTGATTATCTGACACAGCAGATCATTTCAATCCCCACCTGGAGATCGGCAGACAGAAAATGACAGCAAAACAGGGCAAGCCCACCCAGTTCCTCCAGATCTGCCTCATTCTCATTAAACACGGAAACTTGCTGGGCCCCGTTACTGACCATGGGCTCAGCAGCCACGAGTGTGTGACCTGACACCGCTCAGGAACCAAACCCACGTGGAGGAGGGAACACCAAAGGAAGACAAAGGATGCTGCATCAGACCCTTGTCCCATTCCAGCCCCCCGGGGACAGGCCAGGCCACTTCAGCAGATTCATCTTCCCCACTTTAAGCAACCTCCCCATGAGGGCAGAGTGTCTGGGAGCACCACAGGAGGATCAATAGAGCGTTCTGGAGGAGACAGAGGCAGGAGGGCTCCCACAGCCCTGACACAACACTGGGCTACCAGCAGGGAGTGTATGCAGGGCGAGGGGGAGAGGGAATATGTAAATCCACAAAATACAGCTGCTCATCTGCTCCACACTTGGCACCACAGTTAATCACTCGGAAACCCCAATCGGAGCCATTAACGTGGCCACCCAAGTGTGAAATTGGCTGCACAGCAGCTCCCTTGCCTCCCTTTGCCAGGCCTGTCGGCTCCTGCCTGGAGCTGCGAGCAGGCCTGGAGCCGCCCAGCCCCAAGTGCCCTTCTCTGTGCCTAGAGCCACCTGGCCTCGCGTGCCCTTCCCTGTGCCCTTCCCTGTGCCCAGAGCTGCCTGGCATCGCGTGCCCTTCGCTGTGCCATTCCCACTCCCATGGCCCCGCTTTCCAGGTGAGCCCTCCCTCGTTCCCGCAGCCTCGCAGGGCAGATGTGCTCTGCTGAGGCAGGACACAGCCAGGGTGGCAGCAGCTGTCGGAAGCAGAAGGTGCTCAGCTCCCCAGGGCCCTTCCAGCACAGCAAGCCCTGCCACAGCTCCCCACCCAGGGCAGTGCCAGCGGCGTTCCCCAAACCGCCCGCTCGCGGCTGGCGCTGCTGGCACGGGGAGCACAGCGCTGCCTCCTGCTGCAGCCCAGCCCTGCCAGGCAGCCTCGGCCCGCAGTGCCTGCTGCTCTCCTGCATGCACAGCTCTGCTGGCACGCACCCAGCCCTGCTCACCATCGTCACTGGTGTGCGGCTCTGTCCCGTTGTCGTGGTCCACCTCATCGATGGTGCCCGGCTCGCTGTGCGGGCTGTCACTGCGGAGGAACACAGCAGGCTGTCACACAGCAAAGGACACTGCTCCCAACGCACTCTGCACCCCTCATGCTGCCCAGGGAGGTGGGGGAGTGCCCATCTCTGGAGGTGTACAAGAAACAACTGGATGTGTCTGGGCAACAAGGTGGTGTTTGGTCAAAGGCTGGACTCACTCTTGGAGGTCTTTGCCAACCTAACTAATTCTGTGATTTGTGATTCTCTCATTTCAAACCACAGCAGATCCCTGAACTTGCTGAGAACAGCAGACACTCACACCACAATCGCCAGGCCCAGAATGTCACGTTCTGTTGGCTCTTGTGTCTTCAGCAGAGTTTGGCAAAACTAACACAAAGTGACACCAAGTTAAATGCCCCATTCCCTAATTCACAGTGAGCTGCAGCTTTAGCTCCTCTGTTGCACCAGGAAGGATGGCGCAGGTGACTAGTGTAAGGCATGGTGAGATCTCAAAAATGTATGAAACTTGTAGAAAATCAGTTCAAGTATGTTACTGATCCTGGCTTGCTAAACCCAGACCTGAATGCTGAGTTAGAATTCCAGCAACAAAAGAACTGGAAGATTTGGGTTAACCTCAGGCTGAGGGATTTCATCCAACCAGCAAATTATGAACTATGGATCTTCACTCAAAATTTCCAGCCTAGGAGGAATTTGGATAGAATTTACCTAAAATTCTGTTTTGCCGACCACACTTCTGTGCATCTGCAGCTCAAAAAAATCTTCATCGGCATTAGTATATGCCCTGGAAAAAGTTTCTTCTGATGTTTTTTACTGAGGTTTAAAATACTGAGTCAGCACAATAAAATGAAATACCTGGTGAAACTGCCTGTTTTGACTAGTAAGACTAAATCCAACAGTTCAGTGTGCAAGAGCCTCTCGGCCTGATGAAAGTGTTTGTGCCCAGGAACCCAGCAGAGAGCTCACCAGTACTCCTCCCCTCCGGTCATGCACTTCTCGTAGACAGGCCCCTCCAGCTCTCGGTGGCTGGGGAAGATGCCCTCGTGGTGAATGATGATGGTTTTGATGACCTCATTGACATGGGCCTGGCAGGATACCGGATCCTGCCCGTCAGGAATGTGCATCAGCGTGGGCCCGAAGCAGATGGCCAGGTTGTAGGGATCCATCATGTTCTCATCGCTGTACTGTGACAAGCTGCAAGCACACAGTGAGGAGCTGCTGTGCCATGGTCCTGCTCGCTGGGACCCCTCCCGGCAGAGCCCCTGGCCTGGCACGCACTGGCACCGAGCTGTCCCCACTGCCCTGGCACCGAGCTGCCCCCTCCCTGGGCACACAGAGGCACCAAGCTGTTCCCTCTGCCCCAGTACTGAGCTGTCCCCTCCCTAGACACACACCAGCACTGAGCTGTCCCCTCTGCCCTGGCACCGAGATGTCCCCTCCCCGGGCACGCAGCCACGGCCAGCAGGGCCGAGAAGAACCCAAGCACAACTCCCCATGGCAACACCAGAAGGGATTCGTGCACCAAAGATGGGGCAGCCCTGGCAAAAGGGACGGCGAGGAGGAACTTGGTGAAGCAGGAAAACAGACTCACTGGTTAAGGAAAGCAAAGAGGTATCTCATGACCACGATGACAGCCCGAGGCAGAGTGACAATGATCTGCTGGATCTGGTGCACTCTCTCTGCAGGGTTCTCAATTTCTGGAACACATGGATAGAAAGCACATCCTTAAAAACCTTTTCAGGACCAGACAGCTCAGCGGCAGAGGGACTTGTTCCAGATCTAGTGGCCCAGTAAGTGAGGAAAACAAAAGCCTGTCTCCAGAGGTCATCCATCAGTCTGGTACTAAGGTGCAGGAAGGGAATGGGGGACACTGCTCCTCCAGCAGGGAATTCCTATCTTCAGACTCAGTATGAACTGCAAATAAAGACATTTCCGTGGGTTTTATTTTAAAATAAATGTTTATGCATTATTCATTTCATTCCTCAACAATTCCTCTGTTCCTCAAAAGCTCGAGTCAATGTGACACTGAAAACAGAGCACTGCTTGATTTTCTAGGGCAGATTTTTAAATGAGGTTTTTATTCAGGTTACCCTTCTGGGTTACACACTGGATCCTTCTGAGCCCTTCCGCTCCTGTCTGCTGCTGCACTGAATAGGAATTAGGGACTCCCAGGAACTAGGTTAGCTGAACCAGTGCTGAGTCAGTGCTTTCAGATTCACTGCTCTCCCCTCACAGGGGTGCAGAGCCCGGGGCTGCCATCAGACACCTGCTCCCTCCCAAGAGAACGGGTGGCTCAGGGCTGTCCTGCCCCAGGCTACCCTGTGTTCTGCAGAGAGTTAATCCTGTGGCTGCTGTTCCACAGGAAGCAGAGGACAAGCACCAGAACTTTTTTGGAGCAGGTAGGTCACACAGAAGTGCTTGTTCTGGCTCACACTACACCATTTTCTAATCACAATAAAGTTCACTGACAACATGTAGTTAGGCTGCCATTTAATCAAAATTATGAGCAAAATCTGTCCTCAATATACCAAGATGGAAAGCTTTGTAGTATTTCACATGGGGAATTTTTCCATTTGATTTATCCCATTATTGCCTGCTGGGTTCTCTACTTCTTCAGTCTGGTTTTACAAAAGAGGTTATTTCTTTAAAAAACCCAACTAAATACAAACCGATAAAACCCTATGTCAATAGATATCTTTTCTGACATCCAGAGAAACAAGCTCTCAAAACACTTGCCTTTCTCCCAGAGCAAAATGTTTCAACTGGGCATATGGAATTAAGAGGGTACCAATCACCCTTGCACACACAAGGACAGCCCAATGTGGACTCTGCCAAGTGCCTTTTGACCTTTTTATTGCCCTTGTGTCTTTGAGGAGCTTCCACATAAACCCCCAGCCCTGCAAGAGCAAAAGGAAAAGTTCTTCACCCTGCTTAGGCTGGGACACCCATTTAGTGCTTCTCTTGTCCCAGCCAGCTCTCCACAAGGAGCTGTCCCATGTACTTACTTATAGTAGATATCAAATCTTGAAACCTTTCCTTAGGAAAGAGGGGGTTTTCCAGTCCTCGGAAATACAGCTTCAAGACTCCAGCCACCGAGTTAATGTCTCGTTCGTTCTGGTCATCAGCGAGGGGGTCTTCACCTGCCCACAGAAAAGGTTTTATATCCAGCATCCCCATCAAGCTGGACTAGCACAAGTAGTTTTCCTCATTTAGTGGAACACCCAAATTTCCCAGTGTTAGAAACCCTCCTCATGTGCAATGGCAATGGCAATTTTTCCTGAAAACCAGTTTTACAGGGGAATTTCAAACCTTTCCTGAGTTGTCCTCAGGAAAGGTTTGAAATGTCCAAGGATGATACTGGTTGTTTCTCCTTCACTGTTTCCAGCTCAGTGCATTCCTTCCATTTACAGCACCAGCCCAGAAAGCTGAGGAGGTCTGAATGACACAGAGTGAGAGCCTGAGAGGACAGGCTTGGCTGGAGGATACAATTACACCTCTGAAATGGACCCAACAGCCCTGGACAGCTTTGTACTGACTTAAATCTGCGAAAGGCTTTCAGTACCCCCGAGATTTGGACACTAATTCATCCTAAATTGGATGTGCAAATCGTCGAGTCTTTGACAATCCTAACACTGCCTTATCCACTGGCCCATCCACCTTCATCCTGATCCTTCCAACTGCTGCTCAAGGATTAAGGGTCACTATTCCCAGCACGACTGTCCCTGTCACAGCTCCCCTCCACTCAGGACAGCAGGACTGCTTTCCGTTTCTCACTGAGAGAATTTTCTCAGCAGATTCACTGGCACCTCCACAGCCAGCACCGGCACCAGGGACAGGGAATGCTGCACGTCCCTTGGCAAACTGCTGCAGGAAGGATGAACAAGGGTCCCCAGCAAACTCTCTGATGGCTCTTGTGTTTTTAATGACTGTGGAAAAGACCTCTGCACATACCCCTACTTCTCATACTCCTTCCCTGGGTAACTTCACTACTGCCAGAGACACAATATTGGGAAACCCAGAAGGGATAAAACCTGCTCATGCCTCATAGCACAAAGGGCTTCAACACAGGATTTACACCCTGGCTAATGCACCCATCACCTCCCACAAGGATCCTGCTCAGGCAGGGCATCCTGCTGTACCTGCACAGCCCAGCTACACACCTCTCTCAAACGAGTTCTTGATGTCGTTGACTTCCACCTGGGAGCCAGGGACTCTGAAGATGCCCTGTTGCTGGAGGCCTGGAAGAGAACAAAGCTTGAGGAGAGCTTTCTGGAACTGCTGGGCAATACCTGCAGGTCAAAGCAGCAGAACCCAGGAGTCCATGCACCAGACAGGCTTGGACCAAGCAGGGAGAGCCTGCACCCCCCCTTCTGCTCATATTCTCCAACCACGGCCCCCAGATCAAGGTGCTGAAAGGGTGAGGGCCAGTAAAGCCTCACTAGTGGCCAGTCAGCCAATGCCATGCAATTCTAACCTGAGCCACGGAGAACAGAGTGCAGGCAGCCCCGGCTGGCTCTCCCTGCTCACTCCAGCACCTTCTCCCTGGCAGGCTGCTGGGGCTGTGCTGAGCCCACTTACCATACAGATTGATGTAGCGGATGCAGCTTTCTACAACAAGTGGAATGGCCTGTCCTGAATCCTTCAGGAAAGGAAAGGAAAAGAGAAAAATTACTGCTTTATTGCTAACAAAGCATGGGAAACGCATTAAAGATTGCAAGACCAGAGATTTGAAAATTAAAGCTGTGGAGTTTAGTAAGAGGACAGGCAGGAAAGGAGGTGTTACAAACATGGAGCCATCAAAAAGTGCTGAGGATACCGTGTACAGCCAAAAATGCCCAGGAAAGCTGTCACTAAGGTGTGTGAAACATTGCTGCTCCCTGTCTGGCTCAGACAGGAGACTGCCACGAGGGATCACAGCTATTCCACCCCAAAGGTGGAATGCTGAGCTGAAATAAAACTTGTGCTATACCTGGCTGATGGAATAAACTTCCCATAACACAGCTTACAACAATATTTCCACCAAAGGAAAGAGCCACTGTCAGCAGGTTCTAAAAAACCCAACAAACACCACTGGGTATGGAGCCAAGTGCCTGAGTCTGAACCAGTGGTGAATTCTGGCTTCTCCCCAGGCCCCCTGTGGCAGAAGCTCAAGGGGACCGTGGGCCATGTCTGACAGCCCAAGGGGACACATTTCTCTTTGGGTTTTTCCAGCAGAGCACAGTGGCATCTCTGGGAAATTCCCTCTGTCTTGCAGATGGGAATCTGGGGTCTCCAGTAAGTACCTGATTCCTCGTTCGTGCATTCCTCCTTCCTCTGAGCACAACAAAAGCAGCAGAGTGGGAAAAAGAGAACAGATTAAGCAGGGATAAGTTCAGTTAGAGGTAAGCATCTCCTTCGGAGGCCGTGAATGCTCAAATGCAATGGCAGCTTAGCAAGGGCCAACACAGGCCTTTGGGACGTTCCCCTCCCTCCCAAAGCCCTTTGGCACGCTGCACCCCAGCCTCAGTGACCTGCAGGGCCAGCCTCTGGGATTTCCTCCCTGCCTCAACCTGCGGCCCTCCCAGGAGCCCGAGGACAGGGACAGCTCTTGCCTGGGGCACTGGGCAGCCATGGGGGCACTGGTGACCAGGGGACATCTGGACAGCTGCCCATGGCCCAGCTGCCTGTGAGGCTGTACCCCCAAGGGCAGGCAGCCGTCCCCCAGAGGGTCTCTGCCAGCACGGGACACTCCTGCTCAGATGGATTTCTAGAGCAGGTAATTCCTCCTTCTCAGTGCTGAACAGCCTGGGATTTAATGAGCATTTTAAAAAGCAGTTTAAGTCAGGAGTAATCACAAATCCTAACGGGATTACAGGCTTTGCCAGCAGGGCCAGTACTCCCCGTGCTGGTGCTGTGTACAGACACTGCCCTCGGGCTCAGGGCTGAGCTTGAGGCAATAAACCCCAGCCAGATGATGCCTATTAGTCACCTAATCCAACAGTTTGTCTTTACAGCTTCTCAAAGTGTTTTCCCTGAAGCTTTCTCCAGAGCAGGATTACAGGACACCACTGTCAGCAGCTGGCAGGGGATGAGCCAGCTGGGCTGGCTGCTACTGATGTCTCTGTGTGTAAGGCTGAGGGTCACCTGTCTGCCCTCCCACATGGACAGCCCTACAACAGGACTTCAACCCCAGGCTGACAGTCCTTGAACGTTTCAAACACTTCTGGTGTCATTTATCTTCCCTCTCAGACACAAGGAGGGATGACCACCAAAAGAGGAAGGGGGGTGTGTCTGCTGCTCCTTTGAGGGCTGGGCTGAGCTAGTGCAACCTTTCCTCCCAGGATGGGTAGAAGCAGCAGGACAATGAGGACACAGCCAGCACTGCCTCAGTGCACATGGCCAGCAGCCATGGGTGGGGTCTGGAGCACACAGCTGATGGGACAGAACACCAGGGACGCACCAGGAGAGCTATGGAGAGAAATCACCACCGAGGCAAAGCCGTGCTGGCCACGCCAGCTGGGTGCAGATGGGCCAGAGGGACCCCGAGGATGGCAAGCAGCCAGGACAGGAAAGCCACCATTCCATTCCCAGCGTTCACAGACACTCCTACTGCAAGCCAGCAAGTACCTTAATGAATGTTTCCATATTGCCGTTAAAGAGTTTATGATTATACACTGAGAGAGGCCTAGGTCTCCTCATTTTCTGTGGCTTAGGGGGAAGACAGGGGGGCCTGGGAGAAAACGGAACAAAATAAATCAACAAAACACCAACATAAACGCAAAGACAGGGTGAGATCTCACAGGTTATAACTGAGAAGAAGAAATCAAACAGAAGAGTCCCTCTGTGAGGATTTGATGTGTAGCTCCACACACCCTGCAGCCACTGACACTGGTGTGACCCACACGGACACCACTCCAGCAGGACACCAACAGCACTGGTGGCCAGCTGGATTTAACACCTGCCTCCCACCACTGCCAGCTCAGCACGCCCTCAGCCTCAACAGGCACCAAGAGCAGCTGAGGAGATAGATCCAAAATAAATAATATATCCACAGCTACCCCAGAAAACACTGGGGTATTCCTGTTCCTAAACAGATTTCACTCTGCTTACAGGAAGAGGCCAGAATGAGGACAGTGGGAACACCTCCACAGTGCTGTATCTAACTTCTGCTTGGAATCCCAGGGATGGGGATGAGAAAAACACCACAAAATCCCAAAGAGATTTCTGCCCTGCCCTCTGGCCCATGCTGTCCTGATGTCTGCAGGGGAGAGAACACGACTGCAGACACACACAAATCTGGTGCTGGGAGCCTTCATGCAGGAGATCTCATGGAACAGACATGGACAGCACACAGAGCTCGGTGCAAAGGGGACAGCAGGAGTCTGCTGGTTCCTTATCAGATGCCTCTAATCAAGCAACCTAACTGTACACTCGGACAGGTTCCAGCCACTCCTCCGAGGGGTAACTGGGGAGCAGAGGAGACGCTGCCCCACACACGGCAGGGTCTGTGCCTGCAGCCCCAGCCAGGGCACGGGGCACGGGGAGCAGGCCCATCCCAGCCCCTCAGGGTGCCACACTGCACAGCCTGCTCTCTGAGGGTGCCTCTCTGTCCTGACAGCACCTCGGTGCCCGCTGGGTGCCAGCCCTGGTGCTGGCAGCACAAGGAGCCTCCTTCCTGCCTGGCAAGGCAGCCCAGGCTGCACCATCTGCTTCTCCGCCACTTCTAACAGGGAATGCCGCTTTTGGGGCTGATATAAATTCTATTAAACACAAACAAGGCTGGAACAAGCTGACACAAAGAGAGCATGTTCTAGGGAGCTGTTTGGAGGCTTTGCTGGCCTGTGTCTCACTGTCAGAGCCCCAGCACACTCCTAGCAAAACACTGGAGCTCTGTGGAGATGCTCCATGGACTGGACACGGATCAAAGCCTCCTCTCTGTCACATCTGTGCCAGCCCTATCTCCTGCAGTAGGGGGATGAAATCTGTGATACAGGCATGCTCTGCACTCATAGATAAAGCAGCCAGAGCTGGGAGAGGATTTCAGGGAGGTATTAAAGTCCTCAAAGATAGAGGGATGGCAGGGAGTGAGTGAGTGGACACCTTGGTGTCACCCTGTCTGAACACAACCCCACCTCAGCTACGCTCCAGGGCATTGCACTGTGCTGACAAAGCACATCCAGGCACATGAGAGCCCTCCAGCCAGCCAGCAACCACACTGCAGCAGAACCAGGGGCTGCCTGCCGTCCCCCCGAGCCCAGCAGCCCAGGCCATGCAGCTGGGAAGCAGGCTGTGGGGCACATGGACTGCCAGCACAGGGGCTGAACCCACCAAGCTGCACCAGCAGCAAAGCAAGCCCCCCTTCCCACAGCCCCCTCCTGCCAGAGCCAGCCCTCCCCAGGAGCAAGAAGGGCAAGAAAGTGCTCACCTGGTTGTTCCACACTCAGCCCTTTCACCTGTAAGAAACACAAGTTCCCATCATGCCTCCACATCAGCCACCAGCAAAGGACTGCAGAGCCCAGCTGCACCCTCACTGCTGGCTCCTACCCCCAAGGAATGGCTTCCAGCAGAGAGAAGCTGCATCTGGGGAGGAGAGATGCCCATCTGTGCCCCCACCATTAAAAGACAGATCAGAAATCTGGAGGGAGAAGATTAGAATCTTCTGGGGGAGAAGAGGGAGAGGAAGGAAAGAGGCAGAGGGTGGGAGTGAGTGGCAATCTCTGCTGCTGGAGAAGTAACCCAGCACTTCAGCACACAGCTTCAGATTCAAAGAGATTCCCCATGTGCACTCCCAAAGAAAAGTGGGAGGAGAAATCCAAGGAAATCATGGTTTTGTGTGTCACTGGCTAGGCTGAGCAGCAGCAGCCAGGCACAGAACCCTCAGTCACTCAGGAGAACACACACAGGGGAGCCTGGCAGGTGACACATGGTTTGACCCTCTCAGGTGATGGCAGGATCCTCCCTGGACCTGACCCCAACTCACCTTCTCCCAGAGTTTGCTTCAGCAGGTCGTGTTTAGCCTGGAGCTTCGTGATGAGGTTACTGCCATTCAGATACTCCTTAAATTTCTGGAATTAAAGAACAAAGGGTGGGTTAAGCACACAGCCCCTAATGGATGCTCACTGCAGCCTGGGGGCTCAGGAGGCTGCACCAGCTGTGCTGCAGGGCTCAGCAGGGTCTGATCACTTCTCCCTGCTCCAGCCCCTGCCCTGATGGTCTCTTATGAGCCTGGTCTCCTTGGAGCTGCCCCTCCTGCCTGGGAACGCAGGGAGGGACAAAGAGTTCAAAGCTGGCTTTCTTTTGTCAGGCCTCTGGGAACAGCCTAGGAAATCAAAGCAGCTTTCCCTGCACTGCCAAGGCTTTGCCTCTGTGCAAACCAACAAAGGCAAGCAAGAACTCCCAGTGCTGAGCGCTCGCAGGCAGGGCCTGCCAGGTGCCCCGTGCAGCTGGTGACACTGTGCACCAGCACTGCCATGCCCCAGCGAGGCTGTCAGACACCCACAACGCTCCAGAGCGAGGCACTACACAGCTGAGAGCACAGAGCGAGACAAGAGATGGAAAATGGAACATGGAGAATGGCAAAGATCAAATCTCTGCAAAAACCATTAAAGTAATCCCCAGCACAATTCCAAATGAAAATTGCAATCCCCCCCCCGAATTTACAATAATATTACCAAGAGAAAGCAGAAGCTCTTCTATGCATATGTAACACATCCCAAGATGCTGTTAACCACAGGCTAGGACCCACACTGAGATGAGGGAGATTTCTGGTGAACTCATGGCTGCTGCCTGTATTTCAGGTGCCAGAACAGAGACCTGAGACCTGCCTGAGAGTGCAGCATGAGAGCTGCAGGGCAGGCACACACACCAGAGCCCTGCTTTTGTGCCTTCCTTGGCATGTCATGGCTTCAGCTCATCCCTGGGCCAAGGGCAAACTTAAGCTGTAAAGCCCAGAGGGGAAGACTTGGCTTATAGTTCACAGTCCTGAAGGCCTCCCTGAAGTGACCCTGGATGGAGGCACAGTCTGCACCCTACTCTGAGCCTCTCCTGCTCCACTCAGTAAGTTCTGAATCTCATCTAGCTGCTCCAGTTGTTCCTTCAAAGAGAAAAACAAGGCAGGCACTGGATTGTCAGTCCCTGCGTAGTGCCCTGCCACTGAAATGCATTCCAGACCCAAATCTGACAGAAGACAAGTACTTAAAGAGACTGAATTGGTTCTTGCTCTTCACTAATGAGCACTTAACTGGGCCTCAGCCCTGGCAATTAATGCTTCGTGTTCTGTATGCCTGAGCTGAGACTCACAGTGAAATAGAACATTTCAGTCTCCTGCTGGTTGGCTCTCCTCTTGGCAATGTTGATTTTGCTCATGTAGGTCTCTGATGCAGCTGATTTGACCGACTCAGTGGAGCGGCTGTGCTGGAAGGCATCTGAAACATCAAAATCTTCCACTGTCAGCATGTCCTGCAAGGTCTGCATCGTGGCATCCAGCGTTTTCCGTACCTATCGGAAACAGGACAGCGTGGGCTTGAGGCAGACTGGCAAAAGGACACATCCTGAGCCAAAACAACCCCTCAACAGGCAGCTGCTGAGCCCTGGGCTAGCACTGGCTGCAGCCTGTGGGCACTTCCAGCTCCGCCATAGGGGGGGCTCCACACCTGAGCACACCAGGAAAGCTCCAGAGGAAGAAAGGCTCAGCAGGGCTGCCCACAGAGCCCAGCTCTTACCTCCTCATTCTCTATCTTGAGGGTGGCCAGCCGAGACTGCAGCTGGTGGTACCGCATCAGCAGCTCGGTCTGCACAGGCTGCTGGGCGCTCACCTGGCACACCTGAGACAGGAGACATTCCAGGGTCACGCACGGGCCAGACACACACTGCCATACCCACACCGTTCCCTGCAGCCCCCACAAGCTCCTGGCAGCCTCCAGAGAGGCTGTGTTGCCGTGTGTCCCATGAGCAGTGCCCAGGCCAGCACCGAGTGTTTCTGCCATCTCCCAATTACAGCAGGTTAATCACAGCTCCCCTGTGCAGATCTGTGGGGCAGAGAGAGCCAAACCACGGGCTCCCTAATTGGGACAGACATGAAGCAAGAGGCAGCCTGAAAGGAGGAGCCCTAACGAGCCCAGAGTCTCATTAGGAAGGGACACATGAACAGCAGTGTGTGAAGGCAGCAGAGAGGGGTGAGGAGTGCGGGACAATTCCACAGGGATGCTTTAGAGCAGGGCCAGGCCCGTGCAGCCCCACAGGTGAGCGCGTTACCTCGTCCCCCATGTGGGGCTGGAACTCGAACTTGAGCGGCGGGCAGAAGACCTGGTTGCACATGTCCATGATGGTGTGCTTGTCGCTGCGCGCGTCCAGGTTGTCCACGGCGTTCTCGATGACGTCCAGGCCCTCGTGCCGCGACGTCTCCAGGTTGTACTCTGCCGACAGGTACGTCCTGAAGGTGCGAGCGAGGCTGGCGTGGAAGCCCAGGTCGCAGCACTGGCAAACACAAAGGAGGCTCTGCTCACACAAACTCCCAGCGCATTTTGCAAGGCTCTCAGACACAGATGGAAGTTGAAGCAAGGCGTGGCGTGTGCCATCCTGCATACACCATGCCCTGTGGTGTGCGCACATCCTGCTCTGTCCCTGGGCAGCTGCCTGCCTCCCACCATGGAGCAGCTCCTCATGCTGCTGATCACTCTCATGTCTGTCTCAGGGAAAATGATAAAACTTGGAGTTAACTGCTGCCAAAATACTGTTCTTTAGACAAAAAACTGGCTTTAAACATTGTCCCCACTATAACTGAATTTGGCATGTCAAGTGTCATACCAGCACAGGGATTTTTTGCTCTGAAAGCTCCATCAGACCTGAGCCAGTCCAACCTGTGGCCAATCCCTACCTTGTCACCCAGCCCCGAGCACTGAATGCCATGTCCAGCTATTCCTTGAACACCTCCAGGGATGGCAACTCCACCACTTCCCTGGGCAGCCCGTTCCAGTGTCTGACAACCCCTTCTGTGAAGAAATACTTCCTGAAATTCATATTGATAAACTCAAAGTGAAGCCCAAAATCTCAGCTGGTGCCACAAGCAGCTCTGACCCAAGAAGCCATCTCATGCTTGGTGCCAATGTGAGGTGACACTGCTCAGCTCAGATCACATCATGGCAGGGCTGTGCTGGCTTCAGCCTCTGCTAAAACCAGCAGCAGCAAAGCTACACTGCATCAATTCCCAGCCCCACTATCCCTCCTGGTCCTTAAAACCTATGAAAACCCATGTGCAATAATGAGCAATTTTGTAAAAACTATCAAATTGTCACAGCTCTCCATTTATTCTGCTTCTGTTTAGCCTCTAATCACATTAATTGAGAGTATGGGCAGTCATGGACTGGCACAGACGTGCCTTAAAAAAATCAACAAGCAACACAAAAAAGATAAGGGGTGAATTTCCATTTGCTGCTCGGGGCAAATCCTCAGTCTGTGCTGCAAGTCTCTCCCATGAGACAGTTCCAGCATGAGCACCCATGGGAGCACTGCAGGCCGTTTGTACAGAATCCCCAGAGCTGGAACAATGCGGCCGAGGGGCTGCACAGAGCCGGGGCAGGGAGCAGGGCC